ACTGCTTTACGTATTTCAGCCCCAGTGGTACCTCAGGTAGAGTTACAACCCCTGTGGTACACTCAGGTAGTGTTACAACCCCTGTGGTACACTCAGGTAGTGTTACAACCCCAGTGGTACGCTCAGGTAGTGTTACAACCCCAGTGGTACACTCAGGTAGTGTTACAACCCCTGTGGTACACTCAGGTAGTGTTACAACCCCAGTGGTACGCTCAGGTAGTGTTACAGCCCCAGTGGTACGCTCAGGTAGTGTTACAGCCCCAGTGGTACACTCAGGTAGTGTTACAACCCCAGTGGTACGCTCAGGTAGTGTTACAACCCCAGTGGTGCACTCAGGTAGTGTTACAACCCCAGTGGTACGCTCAGGTAGTGTTACAACCCCAGTGATACCTCAGGTAGTGTTACAACCCCAGTGGTACGCTCAGGTAGTGTTACAACCCCAGTGGTACCTCAGGTAGTGCTACAACCCCAGTGGTACCTCAGGTAGTGTTACAACCCCAGTGGTACGCTCCTGGAGTTTACCTGGAGAGAGTTTCGGGGGTCAACGCCCCCGCGGCCCGGTCTGTGACCAGGCCTCCTGGTGGATCAGCGCCTGATCAACCAGGCTGTTGCTGCTGGCTGCACGCAAACCAACGTACGAGCCACAGCCCGGCTGATCAGGAACTGACTTTAGGTGCTTGTCCAGTGCCAGCTTGAAGACTGCCAGGGGTCTGTTGGTAATCCCCCTTATGTGTGCTGGGAGGCAGTTGAACAGTCTCGGGCCCCTGACACTTATTGTATGGTCTCTTAACGTGCTAGTGACACCCCTGCTTTTCATTGGGGGGATGGTGCATCGTCTGCCAAGTCTTTTGCTTTCGTAGTGAGTGATTTTCGTGTGCAAGTTCGGTACTAGTCCCTCTAGGATTTTCCAGGTGTATATAATCATGTATCTCTCCCTCCTGCGTTCCAAGGAATACAGGTTTAGAAACCTCAAGCGCTCCCAGTAATTGAGGTGTTTTATCTCCGTTATGCGCGCCGTGAAAGTTCTCTGTACATTTTCTAGGTCGGCAATTTCACCTGCTCAGGTAGTGTTACAACCCCAGTGGTACCTCAGGTAGTGCTACAACCCCAGTGGTACCTCAGGTAGTGTTACAACCCCAGTGGTACCTCAGGTAGTGTTACAAACCCAGTGGTACGCTCAGGTAGTGTTATAACCCAAGTGGCGCACTCAGGTAGTGTTACAACCCTAGTGGTACGCTCAGGTAGTGTTACAACCCCAGTGGTACGCTCAGGTAGTGCTACAACCCCAGTGGTACACTCAGGTAGTGTTACAACCCCAGTGGTACACTCAGGTAGTGTTACAAACCCAGTGGTACGCTCAGGTAGTGTTATAACCCAAGTGGCGCACTCAGGTAGTGTTACAACCCCAGTGGTACCTCAGATAGTGTTACAACCCCAGTGGTACGCTCAGGTAGTGTTACAACCCCAGTGGTACCTCAGGTAGTGTTACAACCCTAGTGGTACGCTCAGGTAGTGTTACAACCCCAGTGGTACCTCAGGTAGTGTTACAACCCCAGTGGTACCTCAGGTAGTGTTACAACCCCAGTGGTACCTCAGGTAGTGTTACAACCCCAGTGGTACCTCAGGTAGTGCTACAACCCCAGTGGTACGCTCAGGTAGTGTTACAACCCCAGTGGTACACTCAGGTAGTGTTACAACCCTAGTGGTACGTTCAGGTAGTGTTACAACCCCAGTAGTACGCTCAGGTAGTGTTACAACCCCAGTGGTACGCTCAGGTAGTGTTACAACCCCAGTGGTACACTCAGGTAGTGTTACAACCCTAGTGGTACGCTCAGGTAGTGTTACAACCCCAGTGGTACCTCAGGTAGTGTTACAACCCCTGTGGTACACTCAGGTAGTGCTACAACCCCAGTGGTACACTCAGGTAGTGTTACAACCCCAGTGGTACACTCAGGTAGTGTTACAACCCCAGTGGTACACTCAGGTAGTGTTACAACCCCAGTGGTACGCTCAGGTAGTGTTACAACCCCAGTGGTACACTCAGGTAGTGTTACAACCCCAGTGGTACGCTCAGGTAGTGTTACAACCCCAGTGGTACACTCAGGTAGTGTTACAACCCCAGTGGTACGCTCAGGTAGTGTTACAACCCAGTGGTACGCTCAGGTAGTGTTACAACCCCAGTAGTACGCTCAGGTAGTGTTACAACCCCAGTGGTACGCTCAGGTAGTGTTACAACCCCAGTAGTACGCTCAGGTAGTGTTACAACCCCTGTGGTACGCTCAGGTAGTGTTACAACACAAGTGGCGCACTCAGGTAGTGTTACAACCCCAGTGGTACGCTCAGGTAGTGTTACAACCCCAGTAGTACGCTCAGGTAGTGTTACAACCCCTGTGGTACGCTCAGGTAGTGTTACAACACAAGTGGCGCACTCAGGTAGTGTTACAACCCCAGTGGTACGCTCAGGTAGTGTTACAACCCCAGTTGTACGCTCAGGTAGTGTTACAACCCCAGTTGTACGCTCAGGTAGTGTTACAGCCCCAGTTGTACGCTCAGGTAGTGTTACAACCCCAGTAGTACGCTCAGGTAGTGTTACAACCCCAGTTGTACGCTCAGGTAGTGTTACAGCCCCAGTTGTACGCTCAGGTAGTGTTACAACCCCAGTAGTACGCTCAGGTAGTGTTACAACCCCAGTTGTACGCTCAGGTAGTGTTACAACCCCAGTAGTACGCTCAGGTAGTGTTACAACCCCAGTTGTACGCTCAGGTAGTGTTACAACCCCAGTGGTACGCTCAGGTAGTGTTACAGCCCCAGTTGTACGCTCAGGTAGTGTTACAGCCCCAGTTGTACGCTCAGGTAGTGTTACAACCCCAGTGGTAAACTCAGGTAGTGTTACAACCCTAGTGGTAAACTCAGGCAGTGTTACAACCCCAGTGGTAAACTCAGGCAGTGTTACAACCCCAGTGGTAAACTCAGGTAGTGTTACAACCCCAGTGGTAAACTCAGGCAGTGTTACAACCCTAGTGGTAAACTCAGGCAGTGTTACAACCCCAGTGGTAAACTCAGGCAGTGTTACAACCCCAGTGGTAAACTCAGGTAGTGTTACAGCCCCAGTGGTAAACTCAGGTAGTGTTACAACATTAATCATCTCTTCGTATACTTCGTCACCACTACAAAAATCGAGATTAAAGTTGCTAGCGTAATTGATGATGTAATGTTTGTGCTGTCATCAACACAGAAGAGAACTTACATCAAACCAAATCCTTTGTTAATTGTTCCTCTGCATTACTTCCCAACTTGGGTATCATATCCATATCCGTTTTTCTACTCAGACAAATCTTTAATGCACTGAATAATCATTTCCTTTTCTGAAAGATTATCAACAAGGAGAGAAGGACATTTTATTCATGGCTCTTTAATATACTCCCCATCACTAAGTGGCTTTCCATGTTGAACAATAACTTTGGAGACCTCAAAGTTAGCAGCAACTAAGCTGGAACTAAGCCTACCAGAAATAAATTTCCTCAAAGAATCAGGCTTTTTTTTTTTTTGGTCCTGTTCAGTTCACAAGAAATGAGTTCCCTTTGTTCTTGCTCAGTTTTCTTGCTTAAGTTTTTATGAACAGGTTCAAAATGTCTCTTCACAGCAGAAGATCTACAAACAACTGATTCAGAACAAAAAATGCATAATGCTTTATTATCTTTCTTAATCATGCCAAGTTTTTCAGTCCAGTATTCTTTAAATTCTCTAATATCTTGGCTCGGTGATCTGGTGGCTAAAGTTCTCGCTTCACACACTGGGTGCCCGGGTTCGATTCCCGGCGGATGGGTGCAAACATTTCGACGCGTTTCCTTACACCTGTTGTCCTGTTCACCTAGCAGCAAATAGGTACCTGGGTGTTAGTGGACTGGTGTGGGTCGCATCCTGGGGAACAAGATTGAAGACCACAATGGAAATAAGTTAGACAGTCCTCGATGACGCACTGACTTTCTTAGGTTATCCTGGGTGGCTAACCCTCCGGGGTTAAAAATCCGAACGAATTCTTATCTTATCTTTTCGTTTTTGAAATAAGACCAGAGGTTCGCGTGCCGGAAAGAAGTTGTTGGCGTGCCAGGTTTGGCACGCCTGCCAAGGGTTGCCCACCTCTGACCTAGGATAACACCAAAAATGTTGAATAAAGTGACTTATTTCCATAGAGCTTTGGGTAGCTTTAAACATAAGTTGGAATCGGTGGGGTTGAGTTTGGGATGAACGTGCCTAACATGGGTCAATAGGCCGATGGAAGTGTTCCAATTCTATCTTATTTTCTTCAGTGCTCGCTTGATGCAGATAAGTGACCTTTTTAATCCAAAAAATTGGTCTTGCCCTCTCATTCTTTGGATCGAACATGAATGTCTTCCATTCTCCCCAGGTGCTGTTTAACCTTTAATTAGGGTGGCCTGGTGGCAAAAGCTCTCGCCTCACACGTTGAGGGTCCGGGTTCAATTCCCGGCAAGGATAAAAACATTGGGCGTGTTTCCTTACACCGGTTGTCTATGTTAACCCATCAGTAATAATAGGTACCTGGGCGTTAATCGACTGGTGTGGGTCGCATCCAGGGACAAAATTGACCTAATTTGCCCGAAATGCTTTGCATAACAAGCGGCTTTCTATATAGTAGTATGTCATTGATGTCACTTATGGACTGTATACCTTGTACATGTACTTGTAGAATTATTATTATAATCGAGGGGAAGCGCTAAACCCGTAGGATTATACAGCGTCTGGGGGATGTGGAAGGCATTCAGGCTTAATTCGGGGAACCGGAGCACAGATCCAATTCCCTAAATCAAGAGCCCCTCACCAACATCAAGGAACCTTCCGTGAGGGGTGTACTTGTAGAAACAAAGATATTGTATTTTACTGTATTAAGGGTGAATATGTGGTACATTATTATTATAATCAAAAAAGAAGCGCTAAGCCACAAGGACTATACAGCTAAATATGTGGTACAGAACCCAGGGCTGAAGGGTTGACACGGCCCTCAGGTCGTCTCGACCCTTAATACCCAACCAAAACAACACCACCTCCATTTTTGTCAATAATTGGAACTATTTGATGGGGAGAACCAAGGCAACGATAACTGAAGAGGAGAAGGACGTGGCTAGAGTGCAGGTAGAGTGAAGAAGGAGAGAGAGAAGGCAAGGTGAAGATAGTACCATAACATGACACCTAGTGAAAAAAAAAAAGCACAATACCTGACTGAACAACACCAGAATGAAACATATGACGTTTTGTTCTGATTTGGTTAACTAGTTAATGATTCACGTAGGACCGAAACGTCGTCATAAAGTTCATTCTCCTATGTGAGGGTTATTTGTGTAGCTGTTAGGAACCCAAAATACTGTTATATCAGAGGGATCTTGTAGGGAGTGGTCTTGATGACGGTGAAGGGCTCTTAATCCAGGAAATTGGGACTTTTCCGCTTCCTCGTATCAAACCTTATTGTTACCTGTTCACAGGATGTGTGGCCCTTACAGGTTTGGTGTTTTATCAGGAATACTGTATAATATGCAGCTGTATAACCCTTGTGGTTTAGCACTTCTTTTTGATTATAATAATAATGTATAATAAGCAATTACCACAGTTCCCCCTCAAGGGCCTTGATGCTAAGGTGCTCTTGATCCAGTCAATTTAATCTCTTCAACATCCCTTGCAGATGACACCCGAATCTGCATGACAGTGTCTTCCATTGCAGACACTGCAAGGCTCCAGGCGGACATCACCAAATCTCTCAGTGGGCTGCAGAAAACAATATGAAGTTCAACGATGAGAAATTTCAGTTGCTCAGATATGGTAAACACGAGGAAATTAAATCTTCATCAGAGTACAAAACAAATTCTGGCCACAAAATAGAGCGAAACGCCAACGTTAAAGACCTGGGAGTGATCATGTCGGAGGATCTCACCTTCAAGGACCATAACATTGTATCAATCGCATCTGCTAGAAAAATGACAGGATGGATAATGAGAACCTTCAAAACTAGGGAGGCCAAGCCCATGATGACACTCTTCAGGTCACTTGTTCTATCTAGGCTGGAATATTGCTGCACACTAACAGTACCTTTCAAGGCAGGTGAAATTGCTGACCTAGAAAATGTACAGAGAACCTTCACGGCGCGCATAACGGAGATAAAACACCTCAATTACTGGGAGCGCTTGAAGTTCCTAAACCTGTATTCCCTGGAACGCAGGCGGGAGAGATACATGATTATATACACCTGGAAAATCCTAGAGAACTAGTACCGAACTTGCACACGAAAATCACTCACAATGAAAGCAAAAGACTCGGAAGACGATGCAACATCCCCCCAATGAAAAGCAGGGGTGTCACTAGCACGTTAAGAGACAATATAATAAGTGTCAGGGGCCCAAGACTGTTCAACTTCCTCCCAGCATACATAAGGGGGATTACCAATAGACCCCTGGCTGTCTTCAAGCTGGCACTGGACAAGCACCTAAAGTTGGTACCTGACCAGCCGGGCTGTGGCTCGTACATTGGATTGCATGCAGCCAGCAGTAACAGCCTGGTTCATCAGGCTCTGATCCACCAGGAGGCCTGGTCATAGACCGGGCTCTGGGGGCGTTGACCCCAAGAACTCTCTCTCCAGGTAAACTCCTTGGATCAAACCTGATTGTCTCCCAAACCCCTATGGGTTTGGCCTCACATTGGAGGTGTCTTGATGGTCATGGTCTACCAGTTTTAGGACTGGCTTGCCGTGGGTTTGAATCCTGCCATAAATAAATAAATAAATACTGATTGTACAGCAATGCAAGCAACCATACGACCTGTTTTTGTAATACTCATTTGTGCTTAATTGTTATCTGTTTACAATAATGTTTTACCACTGAATACTTTATTGCTTAGTTAATCTTAAGTTAATTTTAAGCCTGCCCGTAATGCTCTGCATTCAAGTGGCTTTGGCATGCTGCATTTAACTGTATTCTTTTGTACTTTTCTGTATCATGTTCAAATTAATAAATAAATAAATAAAGTTTTTTTTTTTTTATAATTGTGTCATTACAGTTTTGCAAGTCTCTCACTTCTTAATACAGTACTGTATCTTTGCGAGATTTTTTAGTTTTCAATCAAATTTGTTTAATGTATTTTCACAGTTATACAGCTTTTTAGCTTTTCAGATTTAAAGAAAAAGATGTTACAAGGTCTAACGTTTTTGGGTTATCCTAGGTAATTTTTACATGTTACTATGTATGATAATTTGTGTAACTATTTGTGTGTACCAGTACCTGCACATAAACTTACATGGCCCTACTAGAACTAACAGTACATACTTACTTGGCCCTACTAGAACTAACAGTACTTACATGGCCCTACTAGAACTAACAACACTTACCTACATGGCTCTACTAGAATTAACAGTACATACTTACATGGCCCTACTAGAACTAACAGCACTTGCTTACATGGCCCTTTTAGAACTAACAGCACATTCTTTCATGGCCCTACTAGAACTAACAGCACTTAAATGGCCCTACTAGAACTAGCAGCACATACATGACCCTACTAGAACTAACAGCAGATACATGGCCCTACTAGAACTAACAGTACATACTTACATGGCCCTACTAGAACTAACAGCATGTACTTACATGGCCCTACTAGAACTAACAGCATGTACTTACATGGCCCTACTAGAGCTAACAGCACTTGCTTACATGGCCCTACTAGAGCTAACAGCATGTACTTACATGGCCCTACTAGAACTAACAGCACATGCTTACATGGCCCTACTAGAACTAACAGCATGTACTTACATGGCCCTACTAGAACTAACAGCACATACATGACCCTACAAGAACTAACAGCATGTACTTACATGGCCCTTCTAGAACTAACAGCACTTGCTTACATGGCCCTACTAGAGCTAACAGCATGTACTTATATGGCCCTACTAGAACTAACAGCACATACATGGCCCTACAAGAACTAACAGCATGTACTTACATGGCCCTACTAGAACTAACAGCACATACATGGCCCTACAAGAACTAACAGCATGTACTTACATGGCCCTACTAGAACTAACAGTACATACTTACATGGCCCTACTAGAACTAATAGCACTTACATGGCCCTACTAAAATTAACAGTAAAAACTACTACTACTACTACTACTACAGTACCCTAATACAAAGTCTGCTTTGCAATTAGCTGTTGTGTGTGTGGACCTCAAGGATCAAGCTGCCTCAGCTGGCACTGCTGTGTCACCTTCAAAATGCTAAGGAAGGTGAGGAAAATATTGCAGTGCTCTTGAGCAGTGACATATTATTTTCTATTTTTCTACATTATTTTGCTTCAGATACTGAAAATAGTTGGGACACTCACAGTACTTTGCTCATCTCCTAATTGTCATTTGTATAAATGTTTATTAACTTAAATAATTGGCAGTTTAATTTCTAATAGAAAAGTTAAGCACAGATACTTCAGTTTGCTGCCCATATATATATATATTTTTTTTTGTTGTAACTTGCATATGAAAGTTATAAACACTCATGGAAAATTTAAGAGTGATATTGATGGCACTTGTAATGCAGACATTTATTTGCAGTAATGGTATATGTAGCATAGACAGTTGTGATAGTTCATAGATATTCTAAACTAACATAATCTTTTTTTTTTTTTCAAATCTTATAATGTATTTTGATTTCAGACCAAAATTTTGCAGTAAAGAAACTTTACTGGTAGAAGCTAAAGCATATTCTTAGTCACTGCAATAAGATTCTTCTTCTTGCATTCAGTAAAAAAAAATAAATCCAACCAATGAATCAGAGGTAAAGCAGCTAAATTACAATACTGTATACTGTAGTTTAGCTGATAGTCTTGGCTTTGCATGTGGCATGTAGTTATTACTGCAAATCTTGTTTTTGTTTTCAGATGTTTCCTGACTGACCTATTGAAATATTTTTTCCAGGTTTCTCTTCTCCCTTTACACCCTTCACAAGGCCATCATATTATTTATTTATCCTATTTATTTTTGTATTCTTTATACACTGGAACCTCGGTACTCGAACAGTTCGGTATTTGAATGCTTTCTTCAGTAATAAAAAATCTCTCGGTAGTCGACTGTTTGCTTGGCACTCGACCAAACATACACGACCTGCCAGAGCTTCGCTGTAAACTATTTCGTGTTTCTTTGCATATTTTAGTGTTTTTTTATATTGTATAAATGAATCACCATGGGGCCTAAGAAGATTAGCGATAACAGCCAACAAAAAAGAAAATTGGGTAATGAAAAATTTGTTCGGCACTCAATAGATCGACACTCGAACAGCCTTCTAGAATTAATTAAGTTCGAGTACTGAGGTTCCACTGTATTTGACACCCTGGGCATGTTCTGTACAAGTGTCATTGGTAAACATTGCTAAAAAATGCCCTTATACAGTGGACCCCGCTTTACGATCACCCCCCAATGCGACCAATTATGTAAGTGTATTTATGTAAGTGCATTTGTAGGTGTATGTTTGGGGGTCTGAAATGGACTAATCTAATTCACAATATTCCTTATGGGAACAAATTCGGTCAGTACTGGCACCTGAACATACTTCTGGAATGAAAAAATATCATAAACCTTGGGGTCCACTGTACTACTACTACTGTAATAATAATAAATCTTTATTTCTACAAGTACAGTGGAACCTCTGCTTAAGAGTTTAATCCGTTCCATGACCTAGCTCGTAACCTGATATACTTGTATGCTGAGTCAGTTTTCCTCATTTAAAGTAATTGAAATGCCATTTATCCATTCCAGTAGAATTCCTGCTCTCAGGAGGCAGGACAAAAATGCTTCAATATGACTCTAATGTCAACTCTATGGCTTATTTATCTATCACAATTCAACTAGTATGACATAATAAACAATATAATTAACATAGAAACATGATACATACTCTAGAATGAATAAAATAGTCATAATATGGCAAGTGGTGGCAGCGGTGTCCATTCCCTCTCCCGCTGACAATATATTCCCGTGCTTTTATTATAAGAGAAAACAATAGTGTTTGTGAGGCTAACTACACTAGTTTCATAAATAAGAAATATTATATAAAGACATAAAGAAATAAAGTAGTTTTATAAAGTGTACGTACGCTGGCGGAGGTGGAGGTGAAGGGTGGAGGCGGAGAGTGGAAGATAGGCTACTTGCTACTATCTCCTACTGCCACTGCACACCTTGCTTGTTTATCTATGATTTCATGCTGTAATTCCATGGACATCATCCTCTTTTTCTTCTCAGCACTGTCCTTTGCACTTACTTTCTTAGGACCCACGGTTAGAAAAAAGAAACTTTGCAATAATAACACGAGAAATGCTTCCACGGTGACATAAACACATTTCACAGGTCAGCTGATGTTGTGGCATTGGCTGTGCCACCTAGTGGTAATGTTCTGAAACTCGCTTATTATTATTTTTTTTTTTTTTTTTTAACAAGTCGGCCGTCTCCCACCGAGGCAGGGTGACCCAAAAAGAAAGAAAATCCCCAAAAAGAAAATACTTTCATCATCATTCAACACTTTCACCTCACTCACACATAATCACTGTTTTTAAAGAGGTGCTCAGAACACAACAGTTTAGAAGTATATTCGTATAAAGATACACAATATATCCCTCCAAACTGCCAATATCCCAAACCCCTCCTTTATAGTGCAGGCATTGTTCTTCCCATTTCCAGGACTCAAGTCCGGCTATATAAAAATAACCGGTTTCCTGAATTCCTTCACTAAATATTACCCTGCTCACACTCCAACAGCTCGTCAGATCCCAAATACCATTCGTCTCCATTCACTCCTATCTAACACGCTCATGCATGCTTGCTGGAAGTCCAGGCCCCTCGCCCACAAAACCTCCTCCAATTCCCTAGATGAAGAGCCTCTCACCAGCATCAAGGAACCTCCCTTGAGGGGGAAGCTCGCAACCTGAATTTTGGCTCGTATCCAGGAGCAAAAAGTGGACCAAGTGACGGCTCGTATCCTGAAAAACTCGCATGGTGGGGCACTTGTAAGCAGAGGTTCCACTGTACGTGTACAGGTTATACAGACCTAGCTGACATCAGTGACATACTACTATATAAAAAAACCCTTGTTATGCAGAACATTTTGGGCAAATTAGGTCAATTTTGTCCCCAGGTTGCAACCCACACCAGTCATCTAACACCCAGGTACAGTGGACACTCGGTTTGTGTGTTTAACCCTTTCAGGGTTGAGAGGCCCTCTCCTAAACTTGTTCTCAGGGCTGAAAATGATTTTTTTCTTATGAAATGATAGAGAATCTGTTGCCAATCATAATGACACCAAAAGTATGAAATTTGATGGAAAACTTACGGAATTATGCTCTCATGAATTGAACGGTCTCGCCAATGTTTACGCATCGGCGATTTTGCCCACTTGGAGCACTATTTTCGGCCAATTCCTGTGTACTAGTCAACAAAAATCACATTTATTTTGCTAGAACTCCATTTTTTCTATCGAATGAGTACAAGAGACCACCCATTTACCAATTTCAACTATCCAATAAAGTTAGAAATTGTCAATTTTGCCAGTTTCACACAAATTTCAGAAGATGCCAATTTCCAAATAGGGTCCAGAATAAACAAGACAGACATTCCTGGCACTAAAATAACAAGTTCTCTGTTCGTTAGTCACATCCCCAGGCCCCTCTTATATTTCTTTTGCTTTCCACTTTGAATTTTTATTCTTACAAAAAATAGAAGATTTACTGTTATGCAGACTACTGCATTAGTGTAGAAATGGTATAAATAGCATCAGCGCACTTGTGAAAGAAAATTAGACTCAAACATTTCGTAATAGTCCATTGTTTTTGGCACTTGTTTATTGTGTGAGACTGTTAAATAAGCCACCATGGCCCCAAAAAAAGCTCCTAGTGCCAGTCTTTTGGTAAAGAAAGTGAGGAACACTGTAGAAATGAAAAAGAAATCATTCAAAAATATTTTAGTGGCATATGCATTGCTGAACTCGGCAGGCTGGATGGGAAAGCGCCATCAATGATCAGTTCCATTGTGGCAAAGAGAAAAGAAATCATGGAAGCTGATGTTGCGAAAGGGGTGAATGCGATAACCAAACAGATCCCAAACAATTGAAGAAGTGGAGAAATTGTTGCTGGTGTAGATCAGAGAGAAAGAGTTAGCAGGAGATGGTGTTGTGCAGTCAATAATTTGCAAAAAAGCAAGGCAGTTGCATGGCAATCTCACAAAGAATCTGCCTGAAACGAGTGCTGATGTTGGTGAATTTAAGGCCAGCAAAGGCTGGTTCGAAAAATTAAAGAATCAAAGTGGCATACAGAGTGTTGTAAGGCATGGTGAGGGTGCCAGTCCTGATAAACATGCGACTGAAAAATCATTGCGGGAATTCAAAGGTTATGTAGACCTGTCAGGATATGTTCGCTCACCGAGAAATAACACAACATTGCCTGAGAATACGTGTGGGAGGCGGCTTTGTCTGCACACTGGACACTGGACAGGTTCAGTACAATCGACGAAAAAAGTTAACGAAAATGGAAATCGGCGATAACGGAGATCGACAAAAAGGGAGGGTCCACTGTACCTATTTTACTAATAGATAAACAGGGACAGTAAGTGTCTTGAGGAAACACATCCTAACATTTTCACCTGTACTGGGGATCAAACCACGAACCTCTGTGTGTGAACTGAATGCTCTAGCATTTGAGCTATGGGACCACTATTGAGTCAACCATGGCAGCAAACCAAAAACTTTTATATTTTGTGGTTAAGAAATGATCCATTCTAATCATGTCATAACTTGAAATACAGTGGAACCCTGAGTTTCGAACGCATTGACTATCGAACACTTCAAGTTTTGACCTTTTTTCGCACCAATTTTGTCCCGAGTATCGAGCGTGCCCCGTGTCCCCTGCGCAAGCGTCATGAGCCAGTCAGGCTTTGTTTATGCTTGAGTGAACACTAACCTGCACACTCATTTAAACATTTCACAATTAATTCATTGTGTTTGATGCTTGTTTATTAAGTGCAACTGTGAAATAAGCTACCATGGTGGTGGTGGATGGTGGTGGTGGTGGTGGTGGTGGTGGTGGTGGTGGATGGTGGTGGTGGTGGTGGTGGTGGTGGTGGTGGTGGATGGTATTGGTGGATGGTATTGGTGGATGGTATTGGTGGATGGTATTGGTGGATGGCAGTGGTGGTGGATGGTGCCTTCTTCAGAGATTAAGGAGATTTGTGCAATGTGAAATAGGGTGCAGGCATTTGCTAAAAAATATCACCCTGAGCAAGCTGAAACAAGCCATCTCTACAAGTTCAGTGAGAGAACTATGTTCCATTTTAGGGACATCTTAAAGAAGGGAAGTAACCCCAGATAAGGACATGTTACCTAAGTGCTCCCTCACTCCTCCTCCCTATCTTTCAGATGCCATCAACAATCTTCAATAAAGGTAAGTAAAAATGTTATTTTATATGTTTGTTTAAATGTTTATTTATCTATTACTAATTGTACTATGTATGTTTGTTGTGTGTATGCAAAACTATAATTAATCTCTATAAAATGTATTTTTTTGTGAATATTTTTGGGTTTCCGGAACGGATTACAATTGTATTTACATTATTTCTTATGGGAAATATTGCTTTGAGTTTCGAACGTTTTGACTTTAGAACTAGCTCCTGGAATGGATTAAGTTCAAAACTCAATGTACCACTGTATGTGTATTCTAGTCCAAAAGTTTGGTTTACTGATGTTATTGTCTAGTCTTCACTGGGGAGTTCCTGTTATGCAGAAAATGGGGCGCCTAG